TGAGAAAAAAATGATCAAAATTTCATATGGGTACAATGTTGCATGACCGCGCAATTGTCAATCAAAGTGCGGCAGCGCTGAAAGCTGAAAATTGGCCTGGTAAGGAAGGGGGTATAAGTGCCTGGTAGGCAAGTGGTTAATAAAGATATACCTCCATGTGAGGTGAACATTGACTCATAGCCACAGTCTTCCTAGCGCTGTCTTCTTGGGAATGAGGAAGAACATACTTTGAGCAAGTAAGACTGGCTGTGATGCACTTTTCACAGCCTGTACCTCTGGCTGCCATAAGAGGGAGACTCCACTCCAATCTAGCGGATTGACCACACACAGCCAGATATGAATCTTACATGCAATCTGGTGCACTCTAAGGGATGGGCCGCACACACTTCTAGGATTCCTCAAGCTATCCTACATGCTAGATGTGAATCCCTCTTTCCACTCTCCTCACACACACTCCCACAGCAGACTCACAATAGTTTGCCATCACCTAGCAGTTTGTCTGCTGACTTGTCTACTAGGCAACCATACACACACAGATCTCTGTCTCACATATATGCTAGTTCACAATCTGCATGCAATCTGCCAAAAAACAGTACAATTCATACAAACTGGAAAGAAACTTATATGGAGCACATAGACACTACAATACAACAATCTCTCTAGGGTTATGAGTTCTAACTGAGTACACAGAAGACACATTTTCATTAAATAATTCAATATCCCAAAAGTGGGCTGTGCATAAAATATTTACAAAGAAAAAGAATTGCAAAAAGGACATACAGAGTTAAGCTGTTCTCTTAAAAAGGTGTAACTCCCTGCAGTAATACTGGTTGCAGGATGTTAACATGGACACAAGATGGCAGTGTTCTGAAGCTCAGTTAGACAGACTCTGTTGAAGAAAAGCTTTGTTGGACTTGTAGGCTGATAGGAGGACTTCCCTATTCAATACCAAAGTACATTTATTATTAGTACAGGTACTTATATAGCACCATCAATATACACAGCGCTTTACATATATATTGTACATTCACATCAGTCCCTAACCCTCAAGGGGAGTACAATCTAAGGTCTCTAACTCACATTCATACATACACATATTAGGGACAATTTATACAGAATTCAATTAACCTCCCAGCATGTCTTTGGAGTGTGGGAGGCAACTGGAGTACCTGGAGGAAACCCATGCAGGCACAGGGAGAACATGCAAACTCCAAGCAGGTGGTGCCATTGTTGGGATTCAAACCAGTGCCCCTCGTACTTCCAGGTAGAAGTGCTAACCACTTAGCCACTGTGCTGCCCCAGAGGAGCTTGCTGGTGGGCGGAGGCAAATAAATATAGAAGCTCGGGAAGCTGAGGACAGGGAGTGGATGGTGAGAGCTGGAGAGAAGGTGTGAGGAGAAGGCTGTGCAGGATGCTAGCGGTCCGGGCTGGGCCAGGCCACAGAGAGTGAGGGAGTGAGGAGGAATCACTGACACCGCTGACAAGCAGAACTGACCATCCTGTGAGCAGACAGACCAGAGAGCTGTCATCTGGAGGGCTCTGTGATGGAGGGAACATGGCAGCGAGACTATCTGCTACCTGACAGAGGTCACTGTTCGGGTGAGGGAGCTCCATACTCAAATCATGAAAGTTGCAAGTGACATTGCTAAGTTCAGTTTCTTACTTCTCAGTTCAGCATTCTTTGTTTCACAAGTTATTGTACTAAGGCCTAGACTGTACAGCCCATCCTGCCTCGCGGCCTACTAATTACTACACTCAACACACTGAATCACAGGATTCTACTGCAATATACTGTAGGCACCTTGCAGATCAAGTCACATTAGTGCTTCAGTTCCAGTGTGTTCTACTCATCAAGAAACGTCTTTATCACCCGAGCTTGCCACCCATTAACCACTTCCAGTCCGGACACTTTTACCCCCTTCCTGTCCAGGGCAATTTTCAGCTTTCAGCGCTATCACACTTTGAATGACAATTGCGCGGTCATGCAACACTGTACCCATATGAATTTTTTACCATTTTTTTGAGATAGATAAAGCTTTATTTTGGTGGTATTTATTCACCGCTGGGATTTTTATTTTTTTTGCTATGTAAATGAAAATGTCCACAAATTTTGAAAAAAAGTTTTTTTTTTAATAAAATTTTGCAAATAAATAATATTTCATCATAAATCTTGGCCAAAATGTATTCCGTTATCTTTTTAGTAAAAAAAAAAAAAAATCCAAATTAGTTTATAACTAGAGATGAGCGAAGTATTCAAAAATTCGATTCGACTGATTCGGCGAATTCGTGGAAAAAATTCGATTCGAGTCGAATATATTCGCGGTGAATTTAACTTAAAAAAGGGTGTTTCTAGGCTTCAGAGAGACTTTATATTAGTGCAGAACACTGTACCTTTAATTTAAATGCCCTTGGAGTCTGCTGGGGAAGCGAAATAATACTGTCAGTCAGTATGACATGCAGATGAGTGCCGTCGATCTTAGAATCACCGCACACTTCACTCATTTGGCCAGTCACGGGCCAAAACCAGTGTTTGGAGCCACAGTGTGGCGGTGGAGGCAGCAGCAATGGGAGGCCATACAGCACCCTATGACAAAATGGAAACCAGCAGGAGTGTGAGGAAACCTGAAAGTGGCACATGGCAGAGTGGGAGCAATGGGAGGCGGTACAGGGACACATGACACACTGTGGACCCAGCAGCAGCGTGACGAGGCGGTACGGGGGCCCATGGCAGATTTGGGGCCTGGCAGCACCTATGGGAGGCCTGTAATCTGCCAGCAACCTATGACAAAATGGAAACCAGCAGGAGTGTGAGGAGACCTGAAAGTGGCACATGGCAGAGTGGGAGCAATGGGAGGCGGTACAGGGACCCATGACACACTGTGGACCCAGCAGCAGCGTTACCAGGCGGTACGGGGGCCCATGGCAGATTTGGGGCCTGGCAGCACCTATGGGAGGCCTGTAATCTGCCAGCAACCTATGACAAAATGGAAACCAGCAGCAGGAGTGTGAGGAGACCTGAAAGTGGCACATGGCAGAGTGGGAGCAATGGGAGGCCATACAGGGACCCATGACACACTGTGGACCCAGCAGCAGCGTGACGAGGCGGTACGGGGGCCCATGGCAGATTTGGGGCTGGCAGCACCTGTGGGAGGCCTGTAATCTGCCAGCAACCTATGACAAAATGGAAACCAGCAGGAGTGTGAGGAGACCTGAAAGTGGCACATGGCAGAGTGTGGCGATGGAGACAGCAGCAATGGGAGGCCGTACAGGGACCCATGACACACTGTGGACCCAGCAGCAACGTGACCAGGCGGTACGGGGGCCCATGGCAGATTTGGGGCCTGGCAGCACCTATGGGAGGCCTGTAATCTGCCAGCAACCTATGACAAAATGGAAACCAGCAGCAGAGTGTGAGGAGACCTGAAAGTGGCACATGGCAGAGTGTGGCGATGATGGAGACAGCATCAATGGGAGGCGGTACAGGGACCCATGACACACTGTGGACCCAGCAGCAGCGTGACCAGGCGGTACGGGGGCCCATGGCAGATTTGGGGCCTGGCAGCACCTATGGGAGGCCTGTAATCTGCCAGCAACCTAAGACAAAATGGAAACCAGCAGGAGTGTGAGGAGACCTGAAAGTGGCACATGGCAGAGTGGGAGCAATGGGAGGCGGTACAGGGACACATGACACACTGTGGACACAGCAGCAGCGTGACCAGGCGGTACGGGGGCCCATGGCAGATTTGGGGCCTGGCAGCACCTATGGGAGGCCTGGAATCTGCCAGCAACCTATGACAAAATGGAAACCAGCAGGAGTGTGAGGAGACCTGTAAGTGGCACATGGCAGAGTGTGGCGATGGAGACAGCAGCAATGGGAGGCGGTACAGGGACCCATGACACACTGTGGACCCAGCAGCAGCGTGACCAGGCGGTACGGGGGCCCATGGCAGATTTGGGGCCTGGCAGCACCTATGGGAGGCCTGGCTGTAATCTGCCAGCAACCTATGACAAAATGGAAACCAGCAGGAGTGTGAGGAGACCTGAAAGTGGCACATGGCAGAGTGGGAGCAATGGGAGGCGGTACAGGGACCCATGACACACTGTGGACCCAGCAGCAGCGTGACCAGGCGGTACGGGGGCCCATGGCAGATTTGGGGCCTGGCAGCACCTATGGGAGGCCTGTAATCTGCCAGCAACCTATGACAAAATGGAAACCAGCAGGAGTGTGAGGAGACCTGAAAGTGGCACATGGCAGAGTGGGAGCAATGGGAGGCGGTACAGGGACCCATGACACACTGTGGACCCAGCAGCAGCGTGACCAGGCGGTACGGGGGCCCATGGCAGATTTGGGGCCCTGGCAGAACCTATGGGAGGCCTGTAATCTGCCAGCAACCTATGACAAAATGGAAACCAGCAGGAGTGTGAGGAGACCTGAAAGTGGCACATGGCAGAGTGGGAGCAATGGGAGGCCGTACAGGGACCCATGACACACTGTGGACCCAGCAGCAGCGTGACGAGGCGGTACGGGGGCCCATGGTAGATTTGGGGCCTGGCAGCACCTATGGGAGGCCTGTAATCTGCCAGCAACCTATGACAAAATGGAAACCAGCAGGAGTGTGAGGAGACCTCAAAGTGGCACATGGCAGAGTGTGGCGATGGAGACAGCAGCAATGGGAGGCCGTACAGGGACCCATGACACACTGTGGACCCAGCAGCAATGTGACCAGGCGGTACAGGGGGCCCATGGCAGATTTGGGGCCTGGCAGCACCTATGGGAGGCCTGTAATCTGCCAGCAACCTATGACAAAATGGAAACCAGCAGGAGTGTGAGGAGGACCTGAAAGTGGCACATGGCAGAGTGGGAGCAATGGGAGGCCGTACAGGGACCCATGACACACTGTGGACCCAGCAGCAGCAGCGTGACGAGGCGGTACGGGGGCCCATGGCAGATTTGGGGCCTGGCAGCACCTATGGGAGGCCTGTAATCTGCCAGCAACCTATGACAAAATGGAAACCAGCAGGAGTGTGAGGAGACCTGAAAGTGGCACATGGCAGAGTGTGGCGATGGAGACAGCAGCAATGGGAGGCCGTACAGGGACCCATGACACACTGTGGACCCAGCAGCAACGTGACCAGGCGGTACGGGGGCCCATGGCAGATTTGGGGCCTGGCAGCACCTATGGGAGGCCTGTAATCTGCCAGCAACCTATGACAAAATGGAAACCAGCAGGAGTGTGAGGAGACCTGAAAGTGGCACATGGCAGAGTGGGAGCAATGGGAGGCGGTACAGGGACCCATGACACACTGTGGACCCAGCAGCAGCGTGACCAGGCGGTACGGGGGCCCATGGCAGATTTGGGGCCTGGCAGCACCTATGGGAGGCCTGGAATCTGCCAGCAACCTATGACAAAAATGGAAACCAGCAGGAGTGTGAGGAGACCTGAAAGTGGCATGGCAGAGTGTGGCGATGGAGACAGCAGCAATGGGAGGCGGTACAGGGACCCATGACACACTGTGGACCCAGCAGCATGTGACCAGGCGGTACGGGGGCCCATGGCAGATTTGGGGCCTGGCAGCACCTATGGGAGGCCTGTAATCTGCCAGCAACCTATGACAAAATGGAAACCAGCAGGAGTGTGAGGAGACCTAAAAGTGGCACATGGCAGAGTGGGAGCAATGGGAGGCGGTACAGGGACCCATGACACACTGTGGACCCAGCAGCAGCGTGACCAGGCGGTACGGGGGCCCATGGCAGATTTGGGGCCTGGCAGCACCTATGGGAGGCCTGTAATCTGCCAGCAACCTATGACAAAATGGAAACCAGCAGGAGTGTGAGGAGACCTGAAAGTGGCACATGGCAGAGTGGGCGAGCAATGGGAGGCGGTACAGGGACCCATGACACACTGTGGGACCCAGCAGCAGCGTGACCAGGCGGTACGGGGGCCCATGGCAGATTTGGGGCCTGGCAGCACCTATGGGAGGCCTGTAATCTGCCAGCAACCTATGACAAAATGGAAACCAGCAGGAGTGTGAGGAGACCTGAAAGTGGCACATGGCAGAGTGGAGCAATGGGAGGCGGTACAGGGACCCATGACACACTGTGGACCCAGCAGCAGCGTGACCAGGCGGTACGGGGGCCCATGGCAGATTTGGGGCCTGGCAGCAGCTATGGGAGGCCTGTAATCTGCCAGCAACCTATGACAAAATGGAAACCAGCAGGAGTGAGTGAGGAGGACCTGAAAGTGGCACATGGCAGAGTGGGAGCAATGGGAGGCGGGTACAGTACAGGGACCCATGACACACTGTGGACCCAGCAGCAGCGTGACGAGGCGGTACGGGGGCCCATGGCAGATTTGGGGCCTGGCAGCACCTATGGGAGGCCTGTAATCTGCCAGCAACCTATGACAAAATGGAAACCAGCAGGAGTGTGAGGAGACCTGAAAGTGGCACATGGCAGAGTGTGGCGATGGAGACAGCAGCAATGGGAGGCGGTACAGGGACCCATGACACACTGTGGACCCAGCAGCAGCGTGACCAGGCGGTACGGGGGCCCATGGCAGATTTGGGGCTGGCAGCACCTATGGGAGGCCTGTAATCTGCCAGCAACCTATGACAAAATGGAAACCAGCAGGAGTGTGAGGAGACCTGAAAGTGGCACATGGCAGAGTGGCGAGCAATGGGAGGCGGTACAGGGACCCATGACACACTGTGGACCCAGCAGCAGCATGACCAGTCGGTATGGGGGCCCATGGCAGATTTGGGGCCTGGCAGCACCTATGGGAGGCCTGTAATCTGCCAGCAACCTATGACAAAATGGAAACCAGCAGGAGTGTGAGGAGACCTAAAAGTGGCACATGGCAGAGTGGGAGCAATGGGAGGCGGTACAGGGACCCATGACACACTGTGGACCCAGCAGCAGCAGCGTGACCAGGCGGTACGGGGGCCCATGGCAGATTTGGGGCCTGGCAGCACCTATGGGAGGCCTGTAATCTGCCAGCAACCTATGACAAAATGGAAACCAGCAGGAGTGTGAGGAGACCTGAAAGTGGCACATGGCAGAGTGGGAGCAATGGGAGGCGGTACAGGGACCCATGACACACTGTGGACCCAGCAGCAGCGTGACCAGGCGGTACGGGGGCCCATGGCAGATTTGGGGCCTGGCAGCACCTATGGGAGGCCTGTAATCTGCCAGCAACCTATGACAAAATGGAAACTAGCAGGAGTGTGAGGAGACCTGAAAGTGGCACATGGCAGAGTGTGGCGATGGAGACAGCAGCAATGGGAGGCGGTACAGGGACCCATGACACACTGTGGACCCAGCAGCAGCGTGACCAGGCGGTACGGGGGCCCATGGCAGATTTGGGGCCTGGCAGCACCTATGGGAGGCCTGTAATCTGCCAGCAACCTATGACAAAAATGGAAACCAGCAGGAGTGTGAGGAGACCTGAAAGTGGCACATGGCAGAGTGGGGGAGGAGACAGCAGACAATGGGAGGCGGTACAGGGACCCATGACACACTGTGGACCCAGCAGCAGCGTGACCAGGCGGTACGGGGGCCCATGGCAGATTTGGGGCCTGGCAGCACCTATGGGAGGCCTGTAATCTGCCAGCAACCTATGACAAAATGGAAACCAGCAGGAGTGTGTGAGGAGACCTCAAAGTGGCACATGGCAGAGTGTGGCGATGGAGACAGCAGCAATGGGAGGCGGTACAGGGACCCATGAGACACTGTGGACCTGGCAGCAGCGTGAGGAGGCGGTACAGGGGCCCATGGCAGATTAGGGGCCTGGCAGCAGCTATGGGAGGCCCGTAATCTGCCAGCACCCTATGTCAAAAAATTGAACACACCAGCAGTGTGAGGAGACCTGAAAGTGGCACATGGCATGAGAGACTCTGGACCTGGCAGCAGCATGAGGAGGCGGCGGTATAGGGGCCCATGGCAGATTAGGGGCCTGGCAGCAGCTATGGGAGGCCCGTAATCTGCCAGCACCCTATGTCAAAAAATTGAACACACCAGCAGTGTGAGGAGACCTGAAAGTGGCACATGTTTGGGGCATGATTCATGGCGGATTTAGTCAGTTGTGTCAGGAACTGGTGGTTTGAAATCCAGACTAATCCACGCCTGATTCATTTTCACAAACGTGAGTCTCTCCACACTTTGGGTGGACAGTCGTGTCCTCCGCGGAGTTACAATACCTCCTGCCGCACTAAACACGCGCTCCGATGCCACGCTACTGGCCGGGCATGACAGCCTTTCAAGGGCAAATTCAGCTAGTTGGGGCCAAAGGTCAAGTTTCGTTGCCCAGTAGTCAAGGGGATTGTCTACCTCGGTTGGCAGGGTGCTGTCCAAGTAGGCCCAAGCCTGTTGTTTGAGCTCCTGCTCCAGGTCCACCTGATGCTGCTGCTGCTGCTGCTGCTGCGGCTGGTTAGTAGTTTCCTCACTGCGCTGGTGAAGAAAGCTACTCATCATCGACTGCAGACTGAGGCAGCCGCTGCTGGTGGAGCTGCCACTGCTCCTACCACCCCACCCCTCCCCTGCTGCCATGGCAGCGGAACGCGAGCGCACAGGGCCCACAGTGTCTGAGGATGGACGTTGGCGCAGAAAGGCAGAGACCAAATGACTACATAGGTGGTTTTTATAGTACGTAATTTTGGGCTCCCTCTCAGCAGGTGTGAAAAAGGCCACCATTTTGGAACGGTAGCGAGGGTCCAACAAGGTGGACAGCCAAAAGTCATCCCTCTGTCTGATGGTTATTATTCGGCTGTCGCTACGCAAGCAACCGAGCATGCTATGGGCCATTTGTGCCAAGGAATGCGAGGGACTCCCTGCCTCCATCTCCACAGCATACTGCCACGGTGCGTCTGGGTCCTCTGTCTCCTCCTCCTCCTCCTCTACCAGATGCTCCTGCTCCTCCACTCCTGTCCGCTGAGTGGAAAACCACCCATTTCACTCAATAATTCCTGAGCACAAATGTCCTCCTCTACCTCCTCCTCTTCTTCCTGTCCTGCCCCCACAGGGGTCATGTGGCGTTGAGATCTGTGCGCCACGTCTACCGCACCCTGACCAGCCATTGTTAACAGCATTTGTTCCAGGACGTGCAACAGAGGAATGACGTCGTTCATCCCATAGTCCTGCCGACTCACGAATAGCGTGGCCTCCTCAAAGGGCCTGAGCAAGCGGCAGGTGTCACGCATGAGCTGCCAATGGCTGACATCGAAGTTTACACAGGGGAGTACCTTTATCCGCTTGTAACATCAGGAAATCGGTGATGGCCTTTCGCTGTTCGTAAAGGCGGTCTAACATGTGTAGGGTTGAATTCCACCTTGTTGCAACGTCGCAGATCAGGCGATGCTGTGGAATTCCGTTCTGCCGCTGCAGCTCAAGGAGGGTGTGCTTTGCGGTGTAGGAATGGCTGAAATGCATGCAAAGTTTACGTGACATTTTAAGGATGTCTTGCAGTGGGATGGTGGATTTTAGGAACCGCTTGACAACCAGATTGAACACGTGAGCCATGCATGGCGCATGGCACAACCTTCCTTGACGCAGAGCAGACACCATGTTCTTTCCGTTGTCGGTCAACATGGTTCCGATTTTCAGTTTGCGCGGAGACAGCCATCTGTCGATTTCTCTGTTCATTACACTCAGAAGTTCCTCCCCTGTGTGACTACGTTCGCCAAGGCATACCAGGTGCAGCACAGCGTGACACCGTTGCGCCCTGCACATGTGATATGCCGGTCGGGTAATGGGACTTGGCACGGGGGTGGCGGCTGAGGACACGGCGGAAGAAGAGGTGGTAGAGGCGGACATGTTTGCTGGACCAAGGACGTGCAAACGTGGAGGCAAAAGCGTCGTGACCTGTCCAAGTTGCTGGTGCGGCTGTGCCGGCACCACGTTCACCCAGTGGGGCCGTAAATGACATGTACTGTCCCTGACCGTAGTTACAGCTCCACACGTCGGCGCTGCTGCGTGCACTTTGGCAGAGACCGACATGCTCAAAGACTGGCCCACCATCTCTTCTACATGTGAATGCAGGGCTGGCACTGCCTTTTTGGCGAAGAAATGCCGGCTTGGCACTCTCCACCGCGGCGTGGCACAAGCCATCATTTCTCGGAAAGGTGCTGAGTCCACCACTTGGAAAGGGGGGACTGCAGCACCAGCAACTTGGACAGGAGGACGTTCAGCTTTTGCACCGTCGGGTGCGTGCTCGCAAACTGTTGTCTCTTGGAAACGGATTCCAAGAAAGACTGCTGACGGAATCCGTGAAGAGGAGTAGCAGGAGAAGGAGCATCTGAACGAGCGGAAGATGCCAACGAGCGACAAAACTCCCCTCAGCAGAGGTGTTGGAGCCTTGACTGGCTGATAGAGGGCGATTGACGTCGGGTGACGGAGCAAGTAACGGGGCGGGTGATGGAGCGGGGGCTGGGGCAGGCAGAACCGCCGTATCTTTATCACGGTTTTCCCAGGCCACCAAATGGCGACGCTGCATATGCTGACGCAACGCTGTAGTCCCAACATGGGCCCCCTGGCCACGCTTGACTTTCTGGCCACATAGTCGACATACGGCTACGTTTACTTCCTCGGGCGGCTTGACGAAAAATTGCCACACCGCCGAGTAGGAAACTTTGCCCCCGCTACTCCTCACTGGCTGACTGCTACTTCCTCCGTGCACACCGGCACCACTACTGGCCGTGGGGTGGTAGGCTGCAGTGGAGCTGGTGCTCTACTCCGTGGCCGTTTGGCTCCACTGACACTGCTGCGACCCTGCTGCCTCCTGGGCAACCCACCGACTGTTTCGCTCGCTGCCAAGCTGGCACCCTCTTCTCCTGATGATGCGGAAGAAATTACCTGATGACGACGAGGCTGCCAAGTGCGATCAACCTCCTCATCATCAAGTAGGGTCTCCGCCTCACTACTAGCCCCCTCGGCTGCGTCTGGGTCAGGAGACAGACCTGTCTCTAGACCGGCTACCGAGCCACTCTCCTCGCCAGTACTTCTTCGCCTGGCTGCTGAAGAGGCGGATGTCTCCCCCCATCCTGACCGCCCTCTGTTAGCTCTTCCTCACTGTACAGTGGGGCTGAGCCCACAGCATGCGATACTTCGCTTGGTGAGGGAACAGCAAAGGACAGGGGCAGGTAGAGGACACGTGATTTCAGTGGGCTTGCTCCCGGGCCATGCCAACTAACGGTTGTGTCTGACGTACCCACCGACCGTTGGCTGTAGGTGTCAGAGGTGACCTGGGAAGAGGAAGACGACCGAGCCAACCAATCGATGACGGCAGGGTTGTCGGTGGAGACACGACCGCTGGATGACACCGGGAGCACTGGCCTCTGGCTGCGACTAGTGCTGCCTCGACCCCCTTCCTCTGCTGCCACGTCTGCTCGCTCCTAAAACATTGCCTCCTCTGCCACTCCTCTCTCCTGCATGTTTGTCTGACATACTCTTTAATTCAACGATTATGTGTCCCTGAGTAACAATTCTGTGTCCCTGAGTAACAATTCTGTGTCTGTCCCTGAGTAACAATTCTGTGGCCCTGAGTAACAATTCTGTGTCCCTCAGTAACAATTCTGTGTCCGAGTAACGTTTCTGTGGCCCTAAGTAACGGTTCTGTGGCCCTCAGTAACAATTCTGTGGCCCTCAGTAACAATTCAGTCTAGATGTCTGTCCCTGAGTAACAATTCTGTGTCCCTAAGTAACGTTTCTGTGGCCCTAAGTAAACGGTTCTGTGGCCCTAAGTAACGGTTCTGTGGCCCTCAGTAACAATTCTGTGTCCCAGAGTAACGTTTCTGTGGCCCTAAGATAACGGTTCTGTGGCCCTCAGTAACAATTCTGTGTCCCTCAGTAACAATTCTGTGTCCCTCAGTAACAATTCTGTGTCTGTCCCTGAGTAACAATTTTGTGGCCCTAAGTAATGTTTCTGTGGCCCTAAGTAACGGTTCTGTGGCCCTCAGTAACAATTCTGTGTCCTGACTAACGTTTCTGTGGCCCTAAGTAACGGTTCTGTGGCCCTCAGTAACAATTCTGTGGCCCTCAGTAACAATTCTGTGTCTGTCCCTGAGTAACAATTCTGTGGCCCTAACTAACGTTTCTGTGGCCCTAAGTAACGATTCTGTGGCCCTCAGTAACAATTCTGTGGCCTTGAATAACGTTTTCTGTGGCCCTAAGTAACGGGTTCTGTGGCCCTCAGTAACAATTCTGTGGCCCTCAGTTAGTAACAATTCTGTGTCTGTCCCTGAGTAAAAAATTCTGTGGCCCTAACTAAACGTTTCTGTGGCCCTAAGTAACGGTTCTGTGGCCCTCAGTAAACAATTCTGTGTCCCTTGAGTAACGTTTCTGTGGCCCTAAGTAACGGTTTCTGTGGCCCTCAGTAACAATTCTGTGGCCCTCAGTAACAATTCTGTGTCTGTCCCTGAGTAACAATTCTGTGGCCCTAACTAACGTTTCTGTGGCCCTAAGTAACAGTTCTGTGGCCCTCAGTAACAATTCTGTGTCCCTGAGTAACGTTTCTACGGCCCTAAGTAACGGTTCTGTGGCCCTCAGTAACAATTCTGTGGCCCTCAGTAACAATTCTGTGTCTGTCCCTGAGTAACAATTCTGTGGCCCTAACTAACGTTTCTGTGGCCCTAAGTAACGGTTTCTGTGGCCCTCAGTAACTATTCTGTGTCCCCTGAGTAACGTTTCTGTGGCCCTAAGTAACGGTTCTGTGGCCCTCAGTAACAATTCTGTGGCCCTCAGTAACAATTCTGTGGCTGTCCCTGAGTAACAATTCTGTGGCCCTAACTAACATATCTGTGGCCCTAAGTAACAGTTCTGTGGCCCTCAGTAACAATTCTGTGTCCCTGAGTAACGTTTTCTGCGGCCCTAAAATAACGGTTCTGTGGC